AAGCTCTAAAATTAGCTTTCTCCTTCAAAAGATATGTCTATTGCCATTTAGATATCTTCAGTCTAATAACTCTTTTGATTTTATGTGACAAAGACACATCAAAACTAGTAGAAAAGTCAAACTTTTTGTCATTCCGTTCATGCCAAAGTTATATTATATATGTCACCATAAATAAGTAAAGGGTTTTGAGATCAGTTAATTCACAAGCCATTCCCCAATAAAATTTAAGATATGAATTATATCAACCAACATTCAAAATGAATAGCCACATTCAAAAAATAGGTGAGAAGGACTTCAGAAAAGTTATAACAAAGAGAGCATCTACTATCCCCCCTGAATATTCCTTCTGATTAGAGCGTTAAGTGTTTTCAGACACCCACAAACAGCCAACCAAGCATATACTGAATACCTCAAATAATGTTGCTTATGCCAAATGGTGATGCCCATGAAACTTGGAACCATATTGGATGATAGGGATACAGGAGATGATCTCCCTAATCTAAGGACTAAGAGAATCTAGCAAATTAAGCCCAATAAGTATTTAGCAATCTAAAGAAATGAAAGTGCAAAACTAGAGCATATATTAAGGATTGGTTGATTATGATAGGAGGTAGAGTTTTAAGAACCATTGCACTAGTTATCCCATCATAATGCAATGGGGATGTCAGGTGTAACATTGAAATTTAACCTATGTTTTGACTTAATAGCTTTATTGCAAATGCTTTTCCATAAAACTTAAGAGTTGTGCTTTGGAGATTTCCACAAAGAAGTGTATCTAGAAACTAACCATTTATTGAGGGGAGAAGGTTCATTGTAGATCCTACTGATGATGGAGCAGTTGTAAGAAATTCTGAGACCATGAAGGGAAGGGATCCCAAAACAACCTTAGCATTTAGGCTTTCAAGTGTTGACCCAAGAAATAAGATGAAGATGCTAAGATTGAGTGTCTACAAAGTATACAACTTTGACACACAATTTCCCATTGGTCTTAAGTTGGTATTTAGAATAGTGGAACTACGAATCCAATAAGTAATAGTATTACCAATAATATACTTGATAAAAAGCAACCTACCTGTAAAAGAAAGAAGTCTAGCTTTCCAACTATGGGGTGGTTAGTATATATTTTTTAAAATAAAGGAGAGAAATAAGATATTTTAACTTTCTTTGGCCAAGATAGGTGAGTCTGGATCATATATTGTGAATTTGGAGAGAATTAAAAAATTTCACTCGAGTGAGAAGTGTTAGGGGTGATAATAAGGGAGATTTTTTCAAGATTTATATGCAAGCTAGAAGAATCATCAACTGTAATGAGTAAATCCACAAGGATGTTATACTTGAGAACCTTTGTTTTACCAAACACCAATAAATCATCAAAATATAGAAGATGAGATAGGTTGTAGATATCCACGTTGAACCCTTAAAATCCATGAGATAGCTCAACATCATCAAGTAAACAAGATAAATCACTCATGATAATATATAAAAGGCAAGTACTTAAAGGACATCCCTGCCTAAGGAAAATAGAGGAAAGAAAGCGGACTGCAAGATTCATTTCAAAACCAAGAAAACTCAAGCTTTTCAAGACCCATTATCCTAAAAATCAAAATTTCTATTTTTAGGAATTCCTATTTTAATGTTCTAATGTTCTAATGCTTTTAGAATTTTTTATTACTAAAATTTCTTTTTATATTTTTTTTTTAAATATTTTTTAGGAATTTCTACTTTTAGTAATTACATTAAAACAAATTTGTAAATTATGTTTTTAGGAATTTCTATTTTTTCTTAGAACATTTGAATATTGCCTCTATTAATGTCTAGGATCTTGTTGTTAGGGATTTTTTATGTAATGTTTTAGGAATTACTTTCTAGTTTTTTTAGCCAACAATAAGGTGTTTTACCGAGCAAAAAATAATATAGCAAAAATTTTTGGGCCTTTTTTTCAAGATTTTAGTGTAGATACATTGGGTAATTTATATTTAAGTTTTGCATCTACATGTTTCATGTTCTAATCTAGATCTGTATTATTCCCTGCTAATTGCTAGCTCCATCAAAAATGGTAGACAGTTTGGGTTATTTCAACATAAACATGATTATTATTTTCTTAAATGAATTAATAGGTGGTGTTAATCCTAATTTGCTTATTGTGGCATAACTTTGTGTTCTTTTAGATGGTTGTTATATAAGCTTGATGCTTACTTGGTCTAATAATAGGAATCTAAGCTTATATATTGATATCATTTAATTTAAAAATGGCTGAAATTATTTGATTGAAAATTATTTACGAAAAATTTTAAATTTGAATTTTTATAGAGAAAAATATTAATTATTGTCTTTCAAATGCTATTGTTTGTGTTGTTTATAGTCTCCTTCAGCCTTTCGTCGTCCATCTCACCTATTAATGTTTTCCGTCTTCACCACCTATTACCAACAATCTTTGATCAACTATTATTTCAAATGCGGTGTTATTTTATTTTACATTCTCTTACTTGATGCCGACCATTTTAATCTGGGAGGCATTGTGTAACAGGAATTCACCCCGACTACTGCTAATTTGTTGTTTATTTCCTTTTCTATTACTACCATATGCATTGTAGCTTTTAGTATTCCAATACTTGATATAATACTACAAATAGATATTACATATACATGTCTCATAGAAGGAGGTGGTTGACTCATTTTGAATACATACCCTAGTTACTAATATTTTTTATCTAGTTTTGCTTGGCCTTTCTTCCCTATTTTAGCTATAGCCACAGCATCATCATGTGTAAGAGCAAGCAAATTGATATATGGGTGAAGGAAGCTATCATAGAGCTCTTGAAGATGATCGAGCTTGGAAGCCATGCTGGTAGCTTAGGGCATCTGCAACCGAAACTCTCATTTTTCACTGCAAAATGCAGTAAAACTAAAAAGTGACGTGATTCATCTCCAATGGAACGCCATTTTGCCCCCTAACCATCGCTTGTTTCTTTCGCGCCATTCTTATGCAAGTTCGGTAGAGAGAAAAGAATAGTGCAAGTGAACAGTGCGACGCCAATATTGACGTCGCACTGTTCAACTGCGATCAAATGACGAAGTAAATGTCGTTCGATTGCTACTTTTGAGGGTCTCCATTTGGTTGTTTGTCGAACAGTTGGAGATGGTCTTAGGCAGGCCTCATTTGGCAACTAGATCAATAAATTGTGAGTTTTTTTTTTATCAATAAAGATGCAAAATGAAGTGCAGAATCTCAGGGAATTGGTGAGCGTAAGGTGTAAGCCATATAAATTGACCTCTACTATTGGGCAAATTATTGTGTCCGGTGTCCGAATTTGTCCGGACACCAATAAAAACACAACATGTCACTCAAAAATATTAGAGCCAGTGCATCCGGGTGAGGTGGCGTCTTTGTATTGGATGTCCACATGTCAGGTGACCGGACGCAATAATCTGCCCTACTATGGACGAACAAATTGATGAAAGATATGGCATTTCATAGTGGAAGATTGTAGAACCTGCACTTGTAGCTGAAATGACTAATTCAAATGAGGAGGCCGAATTGCAACCAAGAAGGGAAATTTTTGAATCAGCAGATAAAGCACCATTCTAGTTGTACAGCCATCCGAGGCAGCAGAAAGTGAACCCGAAATAATGAGGGTAATTTTGTGTGAAGTTGGATAACCAATTCTTCGATGGTTTCTTACACATTGAGGACTAATTTTTCTTTATTTAAATCTGAAACTCATTAAACGATCACAATAATCTAGTTTTTGAGAAAATCTACTCACAATTTATTTGATCAAATGCCTCATATAAATACCTTATAAGCTTTGGAAGGATGAACAATTACCAAAAAACATAGAAGAGCAGAAGATTCAATGTTAGGAATTATTTTTAATTCAAAGATTTAGTATATAATTAAAGTTAGCCAAAGAAAAATATAACAAATTTAGCTTTGTTTTCTAAAATAATGCATAAATTAAAGTATTATAAATTTAATTGAAGGGAATTTTGAAATGATTTGATTGCAATATATTTAAATATAATTTTCCCAATTTTATAATTAAAATTGAATGATGTATATTCACTTAATAATGTAGATTATTAGGTTGTTTGAAAATCATACATGTAATTGTGGAAAATTAATTAAAGTGAATTTTAGAATAGCCACAAAAAATAATTAATTAAGTGAACTAGGAAGAAAATATTAATTTAGGAAATGAATATCTGACTCTAGAAATTGAGTGATTGTAGATAAGATTGAGATATATCAAGATTGGAGCTATAGAGAAGAACCAGAAAAAATGTTGTCATGTGATGTCAGGAAACTGAGAAATAAACAGATCCTAATAGTTAAGTGCATTTGCAGCACAAAACTAAAATAAAAACTACATGAGAGAAAAAAATTGAGATTATATAGATGTACCCTAGTTTGTTCATTGGACTTGAGTGTTAAAATAGTAAGAATGATTTTTTTTTTTTTTAGGATAGAGGATTTTAATACCAACTACAATAGTGTTATTGGCATTCTGAAAAATACATGTGATGATAAGTCTTGTGTGATGGAACATCAATATTTTAAATTATGTATTAATTTCAGAATGATTCATATTCATGTGAATGCCAATAACTTTAGTTTGAAGTATATCTCAACGGTTTGTATGCATGAAACATGAGGACTAAAGTTTTTCCTTGGGAGTACTTTGGCATTGGGTTTGTGGGTGTTGCGGAGCTAAGCTCTTGGGCTTGCTCATTTTAATATGAAGTGCCGGCGCAGAGCATCGTTATTTGGAGCACCACGACATTTGATCAAATTTATAACAAAAATATTAATTTCCATTTCATTTCTATTTTGGATAAAATCAAAATCCCCTTTAACCTATCATATAGAGAGCGACGTGTGTGTGTATGTTGGGGGGG